TTGCCAAGACCCCACAGTAACATTTTGAGCCTCAGAATGCCCTTAGCCAGTGATATGATGGTAAGTAAACACTAAACGACCAGTTTTCTGGTACTGCTGGGGAAGAGCCATGATTCGTAGTGTTTGCCAATTGCCATGATGTAAACAGTCCCCACTATGAGCAATTGCAGGCCACCCATGTGATGTCACTGAATACAGAGTTGGGAAGAGATGCTCGGTAGCATTATATGCTATTTACCGTTATGTTATATAATAAATAGCATTACTATATAATACCATTACTAATAATACCATTATTCCCACCATACAAAGATGTAAATAACCTCAAGGGCACAGATAATAGTAACATCGTAAAACAATTAGGAAATGATTAGTTTTGAGTATTTATTGCCTTTGTTTCTGTTATAATGTATTCAATTGCGGGCTTATATAGTTCACTTTTTTTAATGGTTATTTAATAGACAGCTCATAAAATTCCTGAACATTTAGGTAAGTACTTATTTATTTATTTTATTTTAAGTAGGTTCCACACCCAAGGTGCGGCTTGAACTCACGGCCCGGAGATCAAGAGTCACATGCTCTACCGACTGGGCCAACCAGGTGCCCCCAAATTCCTGAAAATTTAATAATCAGCTTTTGTGAACCAAAACAGCTGGCCCTCCCAGGAGAAATGGGCTGTCCTTGTCCTTCAGAAGGGCAGCTCCCCAGAGTCCCCATCCTGGGGGGAGGGACCCCTTCCCTGGCACCCTAGGTGTGGAGTGGGGGTGGATGAGAGTGAGTAACTGTTCTAGCGCCTCTGGTGGCCATAAAACCTGAAGCAAATGGGGAACTCTTTCTCCAGTCACACTCCTGGGTTTCAACACCCATCTCTGGAGGACAGGAATCTAATCACAGAGGCGAGAGAGTCTGGGAGGACTGGATGAGGAGGATCCAGGTTCTAGGCCCCTGGCCCCCCACCCCCTAGGTTCCAGGCCCTGGATCTTAGGCCCATTGCTAGCTTCTTGAACCTGTTTTCTCATTTGTACAGGGGGGTAACTTTAACTTACCACCTGTGCTGCCCATTATCTGAGGCTTGGGGGAGGCGGAAAAGCAGAAAGGGCCAGGTGAGCAGGGGAGCTACAGAAGATAAGAGGTCAGGCTGTGCCGGCAAATTGTCCCCGTGCTGTCATTTACAGACCCAGTGACCACGGGCAACTTACTCGGCCTTCTTAAACTTCAGTTTGCTCAACTGTAATATGGGCGGCTGAGGCGTGCCTAGAAACAGTACCGCCAACCTCACAACGTTGCTGAAGGTCAGATAGGGACCTACATAATGCATCGAGTGCCTTGATAAATACTGGCTTTGCTGCCATTGCCTACAGCCAGATCCACATAAGTCCTTCTCTAAGGACGAAGAAGCAAGTGTTGTTCAGACAGGTCTAGCTGAAGGACGGGACCTCCGGGAACCGGCCCGAATAGCCCGATGATCCCGCCGGCTGCCCCTCCCTCCTTTCCCAGCTGGGGCATGCTGGCAGCTGGGACGTGGGTGGAGAGCCCAGAGACAAACTTCTCACAGTTCCAACACGGAGGGAGTTTTGTAACATTTTCCAGCGGGATTGGGTTTCCTGAGACTTCTTGGTAAGAAGACATGCAAAATGGAAGGTTACACTGGTGGGGAACGGGCTTAGAGTGAGGAGAAACTTCAGATCAAACCAAATCCTCTTCTCCCCTCCAAGCCACCTGGAAGCTCTAACTTCTGAGAATTGTACAATGTTTCCTGGGGGACTCACCCTCCCTGAGGAAGTTAGCATTGATCTGCACCACCTATCCCAGGGGTGAGGCTGTTTCAGAGCTGAGGGGCTCAGGCAGGGGTGCCTGGCTCAGTGTGGGGGGCCTCTGAAGGCTTCTGACGAGGCAAGGGGGAACACGCAAGGGGGACAAAGAAGCTCCTGAGGAAACTGTCTGGCTCACCTTTCACTACGCTACTTGCCTGCTTATTACCTTCCTCTGGTTCTCTCTCACCTTTGAAAAGAAATCAAAAGTTCTTCACATGGCTTGTGAGCACCGAGTCTTGAGGGTTCGGGGTTCAAATCCTGGCTCTACCACTTACGAGCTGTGTGATCTTGGACAAGTTAGTCAACTTCTCTGAATGCTTCAACCCCTTTAACAAAGCAGTCCATACCTCAGATGGCTGTTTTGAGGCTAAAATGAAAAAAAATGTTGGTAAGATGCTTACACACAACCCAATAACGTGCAGTCAATAAATAGAACAATAAAGACAAATTAAAATATTTTTATTACCAGCTTACCACTCCAGATTCATCTCCTGTCACTTCCCAGAATGCAACATCTACAGAGATTAAATTGCTAGCAGCTTTAGACATTTCGGCCTCCCGTGCTTTTGTGGGCTTTTCAGCACCTGGCACATAGTAAGCACTCAATATACCCAGAACTTACCTATAATTCCCTTTATACCTTTCTTCACCTGACAAGCTCAGCTTAGAGGTCCCTGCTCCAGACAGGCTACCCTATGCCCCCAGGTCGTTCTCTTCCACCGCATTCTGTGCACACATGCTTCATGGTACTATGCTACTAAAATGGTTTTCATGCCTTTCTTCCCCTCCAGACCATTAGCTCTTCTAAAGAGGAGTCTGGTCTAAGGCATATTTGCATTCCCAATGCCTAGTACATGGTAGGTGCTCGATAAATGCTCAGCTTGAGTAAGGCCAGTCACATGCCCCCAGGCCGGGAACCCAGATCCCGAATGCCTCCCAGGACCCACTGCCCTTCCCAGTAGGTTCAGGCAGATGCAAGTTTCCAGCAGGTTTGGCCAACAGTGGGCCAAACCTGCTCCCCCCTCCTTCTGAGTCAAACCCTGCTTCCCCCCACCACCCGGCTGAAAACAGAGGAAACTGGAGAATAGGGAGTTTCTTGAAATTTTTGTTCATCAAAACTATCCTGTTTTGTGCTTCAGAGCATTGGTATTGTCTCCACCTGAACTTGGTCACCCAGGGCAATAGAAAAGGAGGAACTCAGTGACCCAGGAACCTGGGGTGCAGTGAGGTCTGCTCCACAGACCTGGGCACCAAGGGGACACTGCACAGCCATCAGCACGCAGCTGGCAAGAAATGTACTGGTTTGTTTGTGCCATTCAGACATTAGATGACTGAAGGAACGAATGACGGACTCCCCAGTCCTTCCCTGTGGTTTTATTTTAAAGATTTTATTTGACAGAGAGAGAGAATGAGCAGGGGGAGCAGCAGAGGGAGAGGGAGAAGCAGGACCCTGGGATTCTGACCTGAGCCAAAGGCAGATGCTTAACCGCCGAGCCACTCAGGCGCCCCTCCCCGTGGTTTTAGAACAGATCTGTCTCTAGATGCTAACATGGCTCTCCTGGGCTTACTTGGAGGAGCTCAACAGTTTAGAAGGAACTAGGCAGCAACCATCCCACTAGAGTCACTGAGGGGCCAGAACTGCTCTGGCCCAAGGTCAAAGATGGGGGCAGGAGGCTGTCTGGCTTACATCGGGCTCTTAGGTAATAATAGTTTGGACTGCTGGGTAAAGTCAGGGACTAGGGAAGGCAATGCTGTCAGCATCCCCTGGGGGCCCATTAGTGAGCAGTCCACTGGGGGAGGCAGGAATGCCTGCTGGGAGGGTTCCAAGAGGTACATCATATTGCTTTGCCCACCTGCAGGCCACCCAAGGAGAAGCTGGGCTGGGTGGTGGTGTTCCCCTTCCTTGGCAGAGGTCGAAGGCTGTCCCTTCCCTTAGAGCAGGGATTTACAGCTGACTCAAAGTTCTAAGAGGACAGTCTTAAGCAGGGCTAAAAGGACAGTCTTAGGAAAGAATGACTGGCCCAAAATGGCAGAGGTTAGCACACCCGTTCTCAGGTCCCTCACTCCCTGAATCTGTACCATTCACTTCATCTCAATCTACCTCCTCTTGTTAACTATTTCATACGGTTGTTTTGTCTTCTGCCTGTAACTTAACTTTCAGAGGACGGGGCCTTGTCTTCTCTACTTCTTTCGCATTCTCCTCAGCACCCAGCACAGTGCTGGGCACAAAGTGGGAGACTCAATAATACATGTGTATCAAATTCCAGGGCCTTCCACATTTCTATCATTTTTCCCCCTAAAGATTATTATTCTTTTTGGGGCACCTGGGTGGCTCAGGTCATGGTCCCAGGGTCCTGGGATTGAGCCCCGCATCAGGGAGTCTGCTTCTCCCTCTGCCTCTCCACCGCACCCCACCCCCCAGCTTGTGCTCTATCCCGCTCACTCTCTCAAATAAAATCTTAAAAAGATTTTTATTATTTTTAAGTAATCTCTACAGCCAACGCGGGGCTCAAACTCACAAACCTGAGATCAAGAGTCCCATGCTCTGTGGACTGAGCCAGCCAGGCACCCCTCTATCATCTCATTAAAAGATCTCACGAGGGTGCCTGGGTGGCTCAGTCAGTTAAGCATCTGCCTTCGGCTCCGGTCATGATCCCAGGACCCTGGGATCGAGTCCCACATCGGGCTCCCTGCTCAAGGGAGTCTGTTTCTCTCCCTGCCTCTTCCCCTGACTTACGCTCTTTCGCTCACTCCCTCTCAAAAAAAAAATTTTTTTTGTTTTAAATAAAAATTAATGATCTCACGGAGTGCTTGCTTTCTTTCAAATGCCATTTTAGCTTCCAGGTGTCTAACAGAACTTGCTTCTGCTTTTTTGCGTCCAATTTTAACCTGTGTGGGATTTTACAAAGCATTCCAAACATCAGAAATACACCCTCAGCAGAGAGAGGGTTTGGGGAAAACTCAGGACAATGTGTGGCCTCAGCAGGAGCATCACCCACCTCGCCCTTGGCCCTGTGGTCTCCGCTCAGGCCAGGGGCCTGCCCTCAACTGCTGGGTGCCTTCTCGAAGCCTGTGTGGAGGAGGGAGAAGTGTTTGCAGTTAGCCACCTTGGGGGTACGACCCCTGCCTGAAGTCTGAGGGAGGAGGGGGGAGAAAAGAACAAGGTGCTGCAAGAAAAAAGAAGAGTCACGTTTTGGGGATTGTTTTTATTTGGGCTTCTCACAGTGGATAGAGCCACTCTGTCTTCAGAACAATCACAGCACAGGAAATGCGTCACCGAGGCTGCCCAGAAGAGTCTGACCAGCTGAATCTTATTGCTTAAAATACACGTATTCACAATAACTGACAAATGGTGATGTGCCTCACACAGGAATGTGTTAGCATTTGCAAATCTCCCGACTGTAGCACCAAACCCTCGGCCAGACCAACCCTTTCCTTCTCTGTTCACCTGGAAAACCAGAGGCAAGTCGGATCTCCCTGGCCTTCTATCGAGTCCTTCAACTCCCTATTTCCATCTCTCTACTGGCAGGGGAGCCCAGCTGGCAGGGGCCAGACTGCGTGACCGCTGGAATCAAGCCCGGCTCTAGCTGCGGCCTCGCTTCTTCTCACGCCTGTAGGGCAGGTCGCTGCAGTGAGCCCAACAGTTGACGCGCGGGCCCGTGCCCCACTCCAGCCGGGGAAGGAAACTTGACAGGGCCAGAATTCATCCATTTGATCAGTTAATTGAAGCAGGATTCATTTTGGTAAAACTTCATCTCCTTTGAGACTTCAGTGAGTTGTTTGGGATTTTATTTATTTATTTGCTTTACTTTTATTTTTTTAAGAAGGTGGAAGAAAAGGCATCAGAGGGCTGCTGACGCACTCCCGCCTGCTGTGGCCGCACACGGGCTTGCGTGCATGCACTGGACCCTGGCAGAGCGAGGCGAGCCCTATGGCACTGCGGTGTCTGCCAAACTCTCCTGGCCGTGGTGGGCAGGGCCAACGTCCGGGCCATAGCTAGTCCAAGCGTGTCACTGAAGATCCAATCAAGCTTCTGTCTGAAGTTCCACCTTCGCCTTCTGTGCCGAGTGGTTTTGAACACCCCCTGGGGGCTGATACCGAGGGCCAGGAGGAGCCCAGGGAGGCAGACAGGTTCAGAGCACGTTTCCACTTACAGGGAACAGAACACAGGCCTCCGAGTGCCCACGGAGCAATGTGCAAATTGCAGGGCTGGGTAGAGGAGAGCCTCCACTCCGAGCACAGTTATCTCTGGCAGACGTGGGGGGTGGGGGGGGGGCTGCCATCGACAATGCTGCTGGATACACCCGGGTACACAGTCAGACATTTGTTCAGTAAACAGTAAATGTGTAAAATAAATTACCTTGAGCGGGGCCATATCTGCTCCAAATGTGTGGTTGACGAGCACAATGGCTGCCATTCAAAGTATATTCACAGGAAAACAGGGCTGGGGGCTCACACACGACACACAGACACACACAGGTTATCCAAAAAGTCATTGTACACAGACTTCACTTTGTTCAACATGGATTTTGGTTTTGTGGACTCCGAATGCAGACACTCGTTCACCTCACAGCCTTGGATTTGTCTATTTTTGTACATACATATATATATATTTTTTTTTTTTCCTTTCTTACTGTAACGTCAATGACTAATGTGAATATCATCGTTCAAGAGTGGGAAAAGAACCAAACTCTTCATATGAACAGCACTGGACAGGGAATGTGAGTTTTAGCTGTTTGCTTTCTCCATCAGGTTATTCCTGTCAAAGCTCAACTGGTTATCTGAAGCCAAACTACAGTAATAAGGATCCTGCGGTCCTTCCGGACCACTGCCTTCGCCCTCCTACCTGGGCCACTCAGGCTCTTTACGGAGGCTACAAAAATTAGTCACCCCACTCAAAAAGGGGGCTGTGGAGAGGCAGGGGAAGGGCATGAAAGCCACAGATAACCAAGCCATTTTTTCCAAGTGGTCAGTTTAAAAATAAAAACAAAAACAACACAACAGAAGAACTCATTCAGAATCAAGAGAAAATACTGTGTAAAAGCCAGGCTATGGGGCTGCCCTTTCTTAGGACCCGCAGCCTCCCTTGTTCCTACGGGAACAGTGAGGCACGGAGGCCTGCAGACTGTGTTTTGGGTGGGGGAGGACCCTGGTCACCTATAGGGTCAGCCCGAAGGGCAGAGATGCAGCAAGCTGCACCAGATGCAGCTCCATGGCTTAGGCTCTGCTGCGCTCCCACAGAAGTTCCAGAGCTAGCCCCCACCCAAGCCTGCACACAAAACATCTCCTCCCGGCTCAACGGCAGCCAGGCTCTTTGAAGGTCAACTTGGGATAGAGGCACAAACTTCCCTTTTCCAGAACAGAATTCTTGCCTGCCCGCTGGTCAAGTTCTTGTTTTCAGCTTGCTTTTGCTGTTGCTGCTGTTGTTTTTTGTTTAAAGAAAAACCAAAAAGAAGGTGACATAATGTTCCATACTGAACCAGGCTGTGGCCAGCCAGAACCTGCTGGGAAGGGCCCCTCAGGGATGCACAGTGGTACATCGACCTCATCACCTGGAATCTGAGGGAGCAGTAAGCCTTCTACCAACCTTATAACTGCCTGTCCGCTCTCATCCTCCCCCAGGACTAGCCCAGTTCTGGCTCTGCAGACCTTGGCAGCAGGGGCTGACAATCCCTGGGCCTCTGTGGGCTTCCTTCTTCTCCCAGGGCTGAGACCTGCCACCTCTCCCGGACTGAGACACAGCAAAGTTCTCTTAAACAAACACCAGAGCACCAATCCACTCCACCACCAAGGGTCACCTCAGGGCACAGTCTCAGCCCCCTCCTTGGGGGCTTCTGAAACACACATCTCTCTGACCCGAGCAGGCAGTGAGATATGACTTGAAAAGAGAAGAAGGGGACAGGGCCGGGTAATGAGGAATGAGTCACAGAACGAGCCAATGTGTCGGCCCTCCGAGACACTGTGCTCCCGTGGGCGGAGAGGCCTCCACTCCCCAAACTGTACCTGGAGGTGCAGGAAAATGCAGGCCGGCGGGGAGGGGGCGAAGAATGAAGCGGCTATACCGCTTCCTCTGAAAGTCACTTAATGCTTCTCTCATGGTGCTCCCCTGCCCTGGTTGCTTTGCCAAGTTCTGAGGCGCGGGCCGGGCCCGCTCTAGCTGGGGGAGCCGCCGCTCTGCGAGTTCGGGGAGTCCTGCTCGTTGATGGTGTTCAGCAGCAGGCACGCGGGGGGCCGCGGCGGGGGCGGGTGCCCGGGCTCTCGGGCCCGCTCCTCAGAGGGCTGGCAGAGGCCTTCCTCCTCGTCACCGGGGGGCCGCACGTGGCAGCTGTCACAGAAGTCCAGGGGCCCATCCAGAGCGTCGTCAATGAGCGTGTTGAACTCTTTGAGGTCGTCGTCATGGTGGCCCCGATTGCACACGCACACCTCAATGCCCGAGTCACCCGTGAAGCGGCGATGTCTGCCAGGCGTCTTGTCTTTGCTATCGGGGAGGGCGCTGCCCTGCTCAGAGCCGTAATCTCTCAGCAGCTCCTCCTTACAGTCGGAATCTTTGTCCAGGAAGGCCCCAGGGGCCAGCTCCCCCAGGCCGGCCACAGAGCCACTGGGCTCCATTCCAGGGGCTTTGGTGGCTGCTGGGCTGGTGGGTACGTCGGGGGGCTCAGGGTCGGCGATGCTCGGGGGTCGCGTGCTGCTTCTGCTGGGCCCGGACAAGGGACTGCTCTGTGCCCCCTGGGGGCCCCTGGTGGGACCGGCGCCTGGGGGGCTGCCGCCTGGGGGGCCACACTGTGCAGGCAGCTGCTGTTGTAGCTGGAAGGCACTGTACGGTGGGGGAGGAGTCGGAGGTCGGTTCACCACTTCCTCATAAGGAGGTAGTAAATAGTTTGGCAAAAACCCTAAAACGGGGAGGCAGGGAGGAGAAATTACCGCACTGGCAACTGTTCTAGGACAGACTGCAAAGCTCGCACTCAACATATGCCTCTTCCCACCCCCAGCATACCCACCGAGGGCCGGCTACAGCTCTTGATTGTGGGCAGGGCGGAGGGGCGCGGCAATTTTGCAGAGGAAAAGAGGGACAGACCGGGAGTGACCTAATCTGGCTTTTTGAAATCTGAGAGCCCCTGAACCTGCTTCACAGGCAGGACTCCTGCTGGTCTGGAGTTAAGGCAGAGGGTTAGGCAAATGTGGGGGATGGCCAAGAGATCATTTCTGCCCAGAGCGTATCTGTTTCCACATGCCCCCGAGTCTCATGTTTCTTGCTCAGACTGTGTCCTGCGTCTGCGTCCCATAGGCCTCAGGGTCAGGGACCCTAATTTAAGACTTCCTGACCGCGTTTTTCTTGCCACCCTCCCACCCTTCCAGATGTATGGGCTATGAAAAGGGCCTTTTCCTGGGAGGTTAGAAATCTGAGGGGCCGGAGGTGGTCTGGAAAGACAAACTGAACCTCCTCCTGACTCAGATCAGGAGCAGGTGGGTTACCAGCGAAGGGTGAGGGGCCTGCCGACCAAGGCTTATTATCAACGTGCCAGGTAAGTTGGATTTTGAATGTGCTGAATGTCTCAAGGCAGAGATGGTCTGGTTTTAACAATAACTGCTAGCATTTATTGAGCACTTACTATATGCCAGGCACTGTGCTAAACACTTAACCCTTCTAGATGGGGAATTCCAGACCTGTGAGCACTTTATTCTGTAGAACACACTGTAGAATGGCTTTGGACAAGCTGGGCCTCCAGGGACCCTTTGAGGGTCATGGGTAAGGAACCCCCAAGGAAGTCAGGTGAATGTCCTTCAGTGAAATTTCTTGGTTCTCAGAACGTCCCAGTGTTACCCCCGACGTGCCCTCCCACGTGCCCCATTCGTGGCAGCCTTTGCTCAAGGATATCACAGGGCACTAAGCAAAATGGGAGGATTTCAGGCCACAGCCATCTAAATCCTGATTCACACACATCACACACCCTCTGACTACCTGCCTTAAGAAAATCATCTGCTAAAGGATCAGACACCCGGTCAGAACCCAGTCAGTGTGGGTCTGGAATGGCCCAGGGGCTCTAGGGCGCTGCATCCACAGCACCTGCTCCTCTCTGCTAAAGGTGAGTGCCCCCTTATCCCCATACCTGTGAGATTCTGCACTATGCTGGGCAAGGGGGCCCCCAGGGGCCTACAGTCTGGGTCCTGGGCTCCCGAGGGTGGGGTTTGGTGGCTTAGGGTGTACGTACTGAAATAAAATGGCAGCGCTGAGTAATTGTGGGCTTCTCGGTAGGCGATCAGGTTGATTTCATGCTGCCGCTGCTGGGCCTGAAGGCGATGCTTGGCTCGGCGGTGGTGGCACACACAGCAGCAGCTCAGGATGATGATGATGGTCCACACCAGCCAGAACCCTGCGGCCAGGGAGGCAAGGCAGAGAGGCACACATGCACGGTGAACACCAGCTAGAGGGGCAGCCTTCCCAACAGGGGGTCCCCAGACAGTGCCCACCTGGTCGAAGCCAGCGCTCTCAGGCCTCACCTGGTGAATTCACATTTGGAACCCGTGTTCAGTTTCTGTCAGTGTTTGTGCCAGAGTGAAAGATGGGATGGAGAGGGCAGGAGGCCCCTCTCCAGCACCACTGGTGCTATGTTTCGGGTTTGACGGGCATTAAATATGCTCACCTTTTAGGACAGCGTCCTCATCCTCTCTTAAGGGATCTCTGAGAAAAATGCTTCCAGCTTTCTTGTTACCCATCTCCCACCCCCACCCCCAAGCCCTGCTCAAGGCCTTAAGGCTGGTTCCCAGCCTCACTTCCTGCTGCTACACCAGGCTGCTCACCAAAAGCAAAGGGCCCCTCAAAATCCCAGCAGATCAGCAAATGCAAGGGGCCGCAGAGGGGCCGCCTGATAAGGGAATTCTTAGGGTTCTCTTGATATCACCAAAAAGATCATGGGCTCTTCTCTATCATGTTCACCAAAAAGATCATGGGCTCTTCTCTATCATGTACACTGGTATAATACAAGAGTCACTAAAGTTACAGGGGGAAAAATTCTAATTGCCTCAGGTCCATCTCTTCTCTAGAGAGTGTAAATGACTTCCTCTGCTCTTGATATAATCTGGTACAATTCCATCTCCTACAGTTGCAAATAACACTCCCACCTCCCTTTGGCCTGTGATTTCATTAGACTCAGGGCCATTAGCAGCCTCCCCTTCTTCCTTCTTGCTCCAGAGAGGGGTAGGTAAGGGAACAGGGGAGAAGGCCTATAGCCCTCTCTTCTCCAGGCAGATTATTCTTCTCATTTCCCACTATGTTCTTGGATCATACTCAGAGAATCTTGACAAACCCCAACAGAAGACCCCCTCTCCAATCTTCAGTTGTAAGCAGAAAATCCTTTACAATTTTTTTTAAATCAATGAGCAATTTTGCTTTAAAAAAAAGAATACTTTTTTCTCAATGAAAAACTTATCTGAGGAATAATTTTAAAGTGAGTTGTTATTAAGTGAGAAAAGATGATTGTTCATTTGTTCTCTATTCCTGAATAACTTCAATTTTTTCCCATTACCAATGCTACATGTATTTTTTATTACCTACTTTGCAATTATAAATTTGTGTTTAGAATCTAAGTATTTCCACGTGTCTCTTGTCAGAATGAGTTAAGATATTTTTTTTTTAAAGATTTTATTTATTTATTTGAGAGAGAATGAGAGAGAGCACATGAG